CATTCCGTAACTAACATCATGAGGAGTTTAGACATAATTGATAATTCTTCCAGCCAGCTTTTGGGGTGATCTGAATCACAAAGTGTAGTGTATGCTATCAGCCACATTGCTGTGTCTCCAACCCAAACTTTTGTTGATATTAGATTTAAGTTAGTGTCATTACAGGCAATAATGGTCCAAGAAGTGAACTAATTGAAATATTCTGCATTTCTTGATCTATCTGCCTATGTTCTTATAATGACATTCATAGCCATAAGAAGAGTGCTTCTGTCCAATACCCAATACAGAAAATTCCCTAATCAGAGCCAAACCCTTTGAACTACTCAGGAGGCACAGGTTGAAACTCTCTTAATTAGGATTTTCTGGTCTGGAAATGTCTATGGTCCAGCATGGATGCAGCAGGACCAGAGAGTCCCAGTGGAGGGCCAGCAGTAAGGATCCCTGTGGTGCCAGCATGGCAGCGGGCTGCCCACAGGTAGCTGACAGTGGGGCTGCCTGGCGCATGGCACTGGGGCTGCCCAGTGGATTTGGGAGCCCCAGCGCATTGTGTGAGCCCGGCTGCCCAGAGCCCTAGCATATGGTGCGCATGGCTGCCTGGAATCTCAGGTGATGGCTGAGCCAAGGCAACTATGGCTGCCCAGCGGTTTGGCAGAGCAGTGGGGTCAGCAGGAGGTAGGGAGGCCAGCAGTCAGACCGGGGGGGCCAGTGGCAGAGGTCCAAAAATGACCTCCCCTGTTTTGGCAAAAATCCCTCATCTAGGACCAGTCAGGTCCCAAGGGTGCCAGACCAGGGAGGTCCAACCTGTACAAAAGGGATGGGAAACTGGCTGCAGCTGGCCTGCAGAAAATTCTGCTATTGGAAGGGAACTTTCTCTAGTGCATTTGGGTGCTTCACTGACTGTTACTCCTCGTTCCTGATGTGGACACATGTTGGAAGTGGGCATAGAGCAGAGCGTGGGTGAAGTGGAACTCTGCTTTGCTAGGCCTTTGCTTCACTAATACCTTGCAATGGTGGGGCAAGTCAGAGGGGCTGGGAAGCAGCTGTAACTCTCCTAGCACAGAGAATGGCCAGCAGAATTAGGGAGCTGGAGCCATCTCTCTGACTGCTCCCACCCACCCTCTCACCTTTCACTTGCACTGAGTGGAGCTCAGGCACTGAAAATAATTAAGTCATCGATGAATACTTTGGTAAGAGCCAAAGAAGGGGCCCTTTGTGGGCTGATACAGCTTAGAGTAACCAGACTGTGCTACTCAAAGCAGTGCTCCTGGGCAGTTCTTTAGGGTGTCTTTGATTAGCCACTATTACTCATTATTTAGGTGATAGCTCTCTGCTGATGTGCATAGATCATAACTGCACACTAGCTATCCATCAGCCAAAATGGAGAAGGGCTGCAGCAGAAGCGATAGAAAACCTGGAAGATCAGCTGGTTTAGTTTTGGTCTGGTGCTGTTGGTGAAGGATTAGCCAGCTGTGAGCCAAACGATATTACTGCAAGGGAGATCACAAACACCTCACGGTGATCAAATAAAGGGTGTGAGGCAGCCCAGGAGATGGGTTCTGGTTTAGTTTTTCTATAATATGTATAAATACTAAACCTCTCTTCTCCCTGCCCAGGTTTCCTCACTCAATGACTCTGCCCACACACTATTTCGATTTTTATCAGAGGGGTAGTCGTGTTAATCTGAATCTGCAAGAACAACGAGAAGTCCTGTGGCACCTTATAGACTAACAGATTCATTGGAGCATAAGCTTTCGTGGGCAAAGACCCACTTTGTCAGGTGCATCTGATGAAGTGGGTCTTTGTCCACGAAAGCTTACGCTCCAATAAATCTGTTAGTCTATAAGGTGCCACAGGACTTCTCGTTGTTCTTGCAGATTCAGATTAACACGACTACCCCTCTGATAAAAATCGAAATAGTGTGTCCCAACTACAGGGAACCTCAAAATTACTCCGAGATTGGCTCCATGCGCTACCATGACTTAGTGCCCCCAGGAAGCACTGGGGAGTAATTACTTCAAATGACCGGGGAGTAGTTATTTCGAAACAGCAGCAGCTGAGCTTCCATACTACCACTTTTTCAAAATAACTGTTTTGAAATAAGCGTTATTCCCTAGGAAAGCAGGAGTAAAGATTTTGAAATAACCAGCCTGTCAGTTTGAAATAACGGGCTTGGTAGTATGGACGTTCCGCTTATTATTTTGAAATCTGGGGGGTTATTTTGAAATAACTCCCTAGTGTAGACCGGGGCTAACGGTACAGGGAAGTTAAAAAACATCCACTCAGGTGAATCTCAGAGCTCTGGTCAACAGACTTGGAGCCACAGGGTTAACACTGTGGGGTTACAAAGAGAGCCAGGAAGAGATTGGCCTTGGACTAGAACCTGGGCCCCTAATCTGTCGGGGTGGTGGGAAGGTCTCACTGCTCAGGCTGCAGCCTGACCTCTGCCTCTACGCTGCTATTTTTAGCTCTGCAGCATGAGCCCCATGATTCTGAGTCAGTTTGCATGTGCTCTGTGGCTTACTGCCATGGGTTGTTTTTAGTTTGGCTGTCTTGATGTACCCTGAGTGTGGGGGTGACATTGGGTCCATTGTGACATCTCCCAGGATGCAATCTGGACTGTGGAACTTCTGTGTCCCCTTAACTCTCGAGCCTGAGGTGCTTTGCCGTCAGAATAGCCGATCCTGGACAGTGTTCCCTCTAAGGTTTTCCATCCCTGAGCGGAGTGAGTTTTGTCTTGTGCACCAACTTTGAGGTCACGTGTGCTTGTTTGGATGTGTGCCGCTGTGGTGCTGCTCCCTGAGGGACTCTCCCAGTGCAGAGACTCCAGCCTGCCCCCCACCCCATGCTGGGACCCCGAGCCCTGCTCCCAGGCAGCACTCCCCCATCTCATGGGGAGAATCTGAGACCTGCCCTCCCTCCGCCCCCCGAAGCGCTACTCTCAGGGCAGCCTGTGTGCAAGGCAGTGGCTGCCCCAGGCTGCTCCATGGCACTGGCTGCAAGTCCCCTCCTGCGGCAGTGGGAAGCTGTTGCCAGCACCCAGGGTTTGCAGGGAGTGGAGTGCTGGGGGTGGGACAGCAACATATGGGAAATCAGAGTGGGGAGCCGGCCAAGGGTTGAAGGGACCTGGGAGCCAAAGGGAAGTGAGGGGGGAAGAGAGGAGAACAGTGATGCAGGGGGCCCCCGCCCCAGAGCAGCTGCACCATAGCCTGGCTCCAGCCATGCTGCTTCCTGCGGCTCCCCTTGGCTGCAAATGGCGAATTGTGGCCAAAAGGAGCCACGAGGCCCCATGGCTACCACACCAGTAAATAAGCATATGGGAGTTTGCTTTGGCAGCTTTCTAAGCATGGTTCTGCAGGCACTTTGAGAAACTCTGGTTTAGATAAAAGAACAAAACAAGTTTATTAACTAGAGTTATTAAGTGATTTATAGGTATTTAAGGCATGAAAGTCAGAATGGGTTAAAAAAAAAAAAGTAAAACCATAAGTTCCTAAACTTTAACATTTTGAATAGGATTAGAAAGCAAAAAGATTTTTCTGAATCCAAAACTTTCAGCAGTCCATGCTAACCTGAAAGCCTTTCTAGTTAGGATGACTCCCACGTTCACAGATGGTTCTGTATCTTTCAAATGATCTTACTGATTTCAGGAATGTATGTAAGAACTGTTATTCACAAAATTTTCCAGCCAGCTCCAGTTTTGAAGAAAATTCTCTCCCATGCTTAGCTGTTTTAATTTCTTTTTCATCTATAAAATTCAGGTTGTCCCTTGTTTTTGGAAACTGATTTCCCTTCCAAGGATCTCTTCGGTGATCTTCCTAAGCAATTTATTCCTATCTCCCTCTTCATTTCTCTGCCCTGCACATAGTTACCTGTGCTGGGAAGCAGCATAATCTGGTGATTAGATTAAGGGACTGGGAATCTGGAAATCTTCTGTACTACTTCAAATTTATCACTCACTGTGTGTTTATGAGCAATCTGTAATCTACAGCTGTGTCTACTCCCTCTCCTATACTCCACCTAAAAAATGAGGATAACAGCCCATATTGAGGTCACCATTTGCTAAATGGCACCATCCTATGTCCTCTGAGATACCACAGTACTGAGTACTGAGAATTTTGGATGAACACTGACATGCACATTGAAAGTAATTACTATTACCTGATAAAATAAGCAGTTAACATTTCAGTTATTGGTCACACTAGCCCAAAATTCATATGTAAGAGCAAGGGTGCTCATACAAATCTACTGTAAATGTCACTCTTGTCATTTCTTAGGTAGAATTACCGAACTACGATTTTTATAAAATTCCTTTACCAGTTCTCTGTTGAAATGAATATATGGGACATAATTGAATAATGTTCTTTCTCCCACCTTTAAAGACTGAAAGGCACTCTGTGCTTTTCTTTCATCCATGCAAATAACTCAGCTGTCGAAAATTTCATAGCTGAACTGTCTCTTGCATAGTATCACTTTCACCTCAGAAAGATTTATGGATTTCCTTAAAATTCCACACATTCACAAGTCCCTCCTCTCTTAGTCATTAGGAGCTATTACTGTCTAGTTAATTAATAACTTCAGTCCTTTGTTAGCTGCATTGTCTCAGTAGGATAAGTCTCGGGTCCCAGTTAGACACATACAGTTCTTAAATAATGCAGGGGGTTAATAAAAAATGAATTCAAAAAAAAAGAGAGGAAAAATTAAGACCCAACAACACAGCCCCTTTGTGCATTGTTGCTATTGGAGCCCTAATAGATATCTGTTGTGATTCACTGATTACTGCTGTAAAACATTACAAAATACCCATGTCAGAAGAGGCTGTAGCGGGACCTACAGGATTGAAACTAAACAGCGATAAAATACATTCATCAGAGTGCTTGCCGTTCTCCTCTTAGAGCAGGTTAAGCAATAATAAATACCAAGCAAAGAGAATTATTCCGTACCCAGAGCACCTGAACAAATAAAAAGCACATAACTATTGGCACTGTTTTATAGGCTCGCCTCACCAAGTCTTCTCCGTGATGAAACGTCTTAGGGATCAGCGTTGAAATCCTTCCTTTCTGGCATTTGTAAGATTTAAGATGTGGGTGAGAGTGGGAGCTTGCTAGAAGGAAATGTGTTAATCCATTATTTCAGAAGGAATATGAGAGATTCTTTTTCCGCCTTATTGGTCTCAGCAACTTTCCTCCCACATACTCATTCTTCCTTTCTCAACCCCCACCTCCCAACAGCGCGCACACTGCTGTTTTCTTAGGCTCATAATCGTTAGTGCTGAATGTGGTGTTAATGCTATGGCTCTGGTCTGTGTTGGCCATTGGGCCTTGTGCAGAGCTTGACCAGAGCTTGAATGCTGCAGAACTCTTCCTTCCTAATCTGAGAGTGCTACAATTCTCTAGCCTGCCTTAGTGGGCCTGGAGAATATGAACCACAAGGATTGTCTTCTCCTTATCTCTTGCCATTGTTTGTTTCCTACTCTTAACAGAGTGAAGAGCTCCCCAATAGGCAAACATCCCAGGCTCCCTCTTAATCATATCCTTTTCAATTACAAGAGCAGCTGCAACACAGTTAGTTTTTCAATTTATTCTACTGTTGATAGTAACTGTTCATGACTCCTTGTGATCCAATCAACTAAATTGTTCATGAACATAAGGATCTCATTCTCTCTTGGAATATTTCCTATGAATATTCCAATCTGTTTGGGTACATCTACACAGCAGCATTATTTTGAAATAACACTAGTTATTTCGTAATAACTTAGCCTGCCTCTACACAGTAAGCAGTTCCTTTGAAATAATGTCGAAATACTGTCAAGTTGGAAGACTTCTTACTCTGGCTATGTATAGACTGCAGAGCTTTTCTGGGATACCGGCAGTATCCTGGAAAAGCTCTGCCGCGTCCAAGAAATGCATCCCCTTTTCCAAAAATAATGTTGGAAAAGTAGATGCATTTTTAAGTTGGAAGACTTCTTACTCTGGCTATGTATAGAAGGTATCCTGGAAAAGAGGGTTTTTTTCCTAAATTTGGCCCCGTGTAGAGGGGCCAAATTTCGGAAAAGCCTCTTTCAGAAGTAAATCGGAAAAAGATATGCAAATTGTGTTTCTTTTTCTGATTTATCTTTGTAGTGTAGACATAGCCTCTAACTCCTGTAACCTTCATTGTACAAGGAGTAAGGGAAGTTGAGGAAGAGTGCTCTATTTCAAAATAAGTGCTGTGTAGACGCTCCCAGTTTCGAAATAAGCTGTTTCAAAATAAGCTACACAATTGACATAGCTCAATTTGCGTAACTTATTTTGAGTTAAGTCCTGCTGTGTTAACACACCCTTTCTGTTCTTTCTTTGCTGCCTCCCCAGTTGCTGATGCACTGCTTGGTTAAAGCCTATCAAGGGAGAGGGAACACATTATTAAACATCTCCATCTAAAAAATACAAGTACTTTGGAGTCTCCCTTCTCCTGCTTGTTTGGTGAGATCCTACTAGAGCCAGTTAGCAGCTCATTTGCAGGCTCACTGAATGGGCCTCGAACAGAATAGCTATAGGGACTGGACTGCACTTCTGCCATTAAAAGTGATGCTTACAGCATCAGGAAAAACATTTTGTAGTTTGCCAGTTTTTGAGTTTTCAACACAAATGTGAAAAATTTTGGCAAAAATGGATTTTTTTGTGGGGGAAATGGAGATGTGAACACATTTCTTCTTTGTCAAAAACAATTTTTAATGAAAAAATGTTTTGACAACATTTTCTGCCCTCTCTAGTTTATAATCTGGGAAGGCATAACTTCTGAATGCTTAATATATATGATCAGCGGTCAAGATGACCATCTTAAAATTGAAGTACTCTGTTCCCCTGGTAGCTCATCATGAAGTCCATGCTAGATTTGCCTTCTGATACAAATGCTTTAGTTGTTTTTCTGTTAAAATAAATAAAAATGCAGAAATATAAAATCAATGTCGGTCATGGAACTACATTAATAAATCAGAATGCCCAGACAGGAGATCATAAACAGCCCAACAATTTCGTATCAATGTGCACAGCTCCAAAATAGATTAATAAAAAAAAGCGTCAGAGGAAAGTGGAAGAAAAATGGTTAGAAAACAGATGTAACTTTTAGGTTTCCAAGGCTGTTTGTCTTTCATTGACTGTAAATTGTTTTAAAAGCGCTCCAGAGTCTCATTAAAAAAATAATCATTGCTTTTTGCAATGCATAACAAAACACTCAACACCAATAATTCCTTTGTTGAGATACTATTCCTTTTGATGTCTCAGCATAATTGATAATATTGTCAGACAAAGAAGGATGTAAACAAACTAGTCACATTAGTGCCTGCAATATTCTCAACACAGAAAAACAGATGACTTAAATAACAGAATGGAAAAATGGGATGGAGAAATAGAATCAGGTTTCTAAGTGGATGTTAAAAATTATATAGTAACATTTTATTGGGGAATAAAAGGAAAATACACTGAGAATATTTATCATAAGTAGAAAGAAATTTTAATAAAGGGTTCTCTTTGCTGCCCCCAGCCATACCTTTGGGAATAATAGTTGTACGAGGAGATTGTGACTTGGAGACCTGTCGTATGTACATTGACCGGCTACAAGAGGTGAGTCAGTGAGGATTTCAGTTATTACTTATTGATTTATGACCCACTTTTCTCAAGTTTGAGTGTGTTACAGGATTATAACTATAGACGTAATATATAAGAAATGCTTTGCTTTGCTTTGCTTTGCTTTGCTCACCCCTGAAATGAAAATTTCTTGAGGGTGGAACGTGGTAGCCATTATAAATTCATGAGCAGCACTGCGCAATATTTGGAAGCAAGTGAAAGAATATCAATTTAAAGCAAAGAAAAGAATGAACAGTAGTTGGATTGTATTTATTGATGCCAGAATTTGATCAGAATAATAGGACGCCCCAAGAATCTTGCAGATATAATGTCGGTCCTTCAACAAAAAGAAATAGGATTAGGAATACCTCCGTTTTTCATGGAAGGATAGCTATTGTGGTATTAAAATGGGGCTGACTATGCCAGTGGTGCAATATCTGCATGGAAATGATTTGGCTAATATCTGCAGTAAAGCTACGAGCATGCCAAGTATGAACTAGATATTTCCAGAAGCCTGTGTTGACTCTGAGGGGTCATGGAGTTAATAAAAGTGCTGCACTTTATTGAAAAATTGTCTCTTAAGAGCTGATTAAACATGACAGTCTCAAAGCTAGAACCTCCAAATGCTCCAGTAAGCAACTATCAAACAGATTTAAAATTATTAGTATTATAAGAACCAAGATAATGGATTCTCATTAATGTGATGTGATAATAGCTTTTACTTTACTTTTACCTTCTGGTCAGCATTTTATCAATCTTTGATATTTTCATTCAAGATCCTCAAAAACAGAGGCCAGAGTTAGGCTCCCAGAGCCATATGGAGGGCCCCTGAGGTGATGGCCCAAATGTGCTGAACTTCCCTTTGAAGTCACTTGGAACCGCTGTAGTGTTCAGCCCTTGTGAAAATGTGGCTATTTATTTAGATGGCTAAATGTGGAGTTAGGAGACTAAGATTAGGTATTTATTTTTAAAAAATTGGTGGGAGTGTAAACCAGCAAATGGAACTCTTAAAAAGCAAGTATATTTCAGGACTACAAAACACAAGTGCGTTGTATCTTAATACAGAGATAGGTTTGACAGTGGCGATGCAGGGAGGGGATTTGGAGGACATTTCCTCATAATTTACAAATGAAGATCTGCATTAATCCTGTGCTCAGAGCCCTGGGTAAAGGATGGAAAGTAGCTTCACTCAGCATGGAAAAAGCCCTGATTCTCAGTTATCCCTGGCTCCAGTTTGTGGGGGAGCTATGTTAGCAGCCTTTTATAGGCCTTCTCTAACTTCCTTTGCTTATACTGGCTGACCTCCATTGACTAGCACAGTGTGGGAGGGGATGGACCGGGGCTAAGGCTCAACCACTCTCCACTTACTCCCAGGTTGGGAAGGAGTAGCCTCCTCTAAGTGTATTATGACTCCCCTTCATACCCACACTTGCTATCTGGGCAAGCCTCACAGGAAGATGGAAGGAGCCTTATGTCTATTGAATCCCTGATCTTAGGACCAATGATTAATCTGCCTTTATGGTAGATCACATCTTGGGTCTAGATTATTGGACAGAATGCTTATTAACATAAAAGAGCCCCTCGGAACTCACTATTAGTGCCATAATACTGTGCCTTCGCTGAGGTTAAGTTGTAGTAACACCTGTGAGACGAATCTGTGCGTAATTTGTGATTTCCTTAAATTTAAAACATATTCCAAAATATTTGTTGAAAAGCCACTGCTAATAATTCTTGTTTGCATGTAGTTTGTTATGAGTATTCTAAAGGTATTCTGTTGTGATAGGGGAACACAGATCACTGGCATGTCATTATTCCCTCTTAGGATGAACATAGCAGCTCTTATTTCTGTGAATATCTGCCTCTGCAGACCATGTTTGCAGTTCGGATGCAGATTCAAACGTTGTATGCTCACAGGGCTCTAACAAATGGGTTTCTGTGTCAAAAAGTTCAAAATGCAAAATTTGCTTTCCACAAAGATCCTCAGTATTAACTTAAAAACCTCTGAATGTGTAAGGCCTACCACCATTGAAGTTATTTGCTGGAAGGCTTGTTGGAAGTGAGCACAAAAGAGTTTCAAACTTGATGAAAGCGCATACTGTCTAAAGTATGTGAATAAATAGTTTTGAAATTATTTTGTGGTTTTCATAAAATCATAGAATCCTAGGGTTGAAAGAGATCTCAGGAGGTCATTGAGCAGAACCAATCCCAGCTACATCATCCCAGCCAAGGCTTTGTCAAGCCGGGACTTAAAAACCTCTAGGGATGGAAATTCCACCACCTTCCTAGATAACCCATCCCAGTACTTCACCACCCTCCTAGTGAAATAGTTTTTCCTAATATCCAACCTAGACCTCCCCCACTGTAACTTTACATTCTTCTTGGGTGGAGCTAGTGTGGGCATCTCTTGAGTGGAGTTTGTACACTGGTTCTGGATTCATTGTCATTGCCATTTCCTTTTATTCATCCATTAGGACCTGCAATCAGTAACGACTACTACGCAGAGAGTTCACTATCAGGTAAAATATGAAGAATACTTCTTGTTTTAATTCTTTAGGCTACGTCTACACTGCAGTGGTATTTCAGTATACTGTGCTATTCCGCATCTTTTGAGCGTGCCCATTATTTCAAAATCTAACAGGCTCTCTATTCCAACCTCTCTGTAAACCTCATTCCACGAGGAGTAAGGGACATTTTGGAATAGCAATTTATTTCTAAATAAGTGCTATTTAGACAGCACCAAAGTTTGAAATAAGCTATTTTGAAATTGACTTGAAATAAGCTATGCGATTTGCATAGCTCAAATTTGCATAGCTTATTTTGAGCTATGGGTGTAGTGTAGATGCACCCTTATGGTATAGAGAAAAGTTAGTCTCTGCCAGGAGTTGATATTATGTTTGAATTCAGATTGTACTTCTCATATGTGAAGCTGGACCTTGAATAGAAAGTTCATTTTATATTAGCCTTAAATTACCATATATCCCAGATTTTAAGATGAGTTTCTGAATCTTCACCAAACAGTCACTTATGTAGCATGCCCCGGATTGTGGAATTGTTCTCATAATTATTTGGGGTTGACACAACATTATAATGTAGGTTTTTCCGCAGCACCATTGCATTTTGTCTCAAATTAGTGGTTTGTAGAGTTTGGTCGTAGGACAAATAGCGAAACCTGAATTGATATTCTCACTTATTCTGATAGATGAAACAATCATACAATATCAGACACAGCCAGTAGCCTGAAATAATACAGTATGTCATTGTAAGAAAAAACCTCCAGCAATCCTGGAACATTTATAACCACATAGATCAGAATGTGCATCTATCCCAGCTTTACATTGATTCACACAGATATATTTTAGAAGCTGGTTGTCTAAACTGTGCCTGGAAATCTTTCTTTTGCACATAAAACAGAATGCTGTGCGGCATGGTTTCCATTTGTATTTGCAATTTTGAAGTCCAGTTTTGAAAATTAGGCCTCCAGTATATATTTCTTAACTACGTTGTCATATGTGATAACCAAGATACTGTGTTTGGGGTAGTATATCTGGTTCTATATTAGGAAATACTCTTGTGAAATTAATCATTCTGTCCAGTGTACCACTGTTAATTTGAAAACAGGGATCTGAATAGAATATATCACAGGAACTGCTCATCTGAGATTAAGTTTTTTGTCTTTTGAAGTAATTTTCCATTGGCAGTGGATTAGTAAAAACATAGTAATGGTGTGGTAAAGATCTACTGGGATAGAATCCAAACCATAGTGCTGAAACCTGCCAGGTGCTGAGCACCTTTTTAAGGGTTTATTGCCTCCAACTCCCACTGAAATCAGTAGGTACTAAGGGTATTAATTACATCACTGAAAGCACTCAAGTACACTGTAGTTATGAGTCCATTATGGTTCAGGAACACATTATTTTGGAGGATCAGTGATGGGTGCTGTTAGAGTTCAGTTAGGCATAATCCCCAAGCTATGCCTTGAGCCCTAGTAGAAAATGTACATTTGGAAAAAATTATTTAGAAGGGTTTTTTTGGAGCGGTCATTTATTGGTTCTCTTGTTCCCCTTCTGATTTCAACATCATACTGTTGTTATTTGTGTCAGCCACTTCCAGGTACTAAGGGTTAAAAAGCAATGTTAGTGCCCAGAACATTAGACAATAATTCTGTTTAGCTCATTATAAAAGAGTATATATCCAATATTACCATACTGGCTGCTGGCTGCTTCATACAAAGGAAACAGCAAGACATAAAATGCTGTCTATCTGAGCATGTATGTGCAGGTGCAAACCAGAGTAGCCAAAATGTGAAATGTCAGAGATCATCCTCCCCACAGCACTGATATAACTCTGACCCCTGGAGTTATTGGCGCTGTAGAAATGAATCACCTAATTGGCTCTGGAAGTGCAAGTCAGCTTGAAGCCTCTATCAATACTTTATAATGTTTCATTTTGAATGGCACTGCCTTTATGTTTTGTCTTCTGTGCTTGTTTATCCTTGATCGTTCAGGCATTTGTATATTCTCAGTGGGTTCTCACTACAAACTGTTTTATTATCTTAATTTGTGGGCTGTTCCATATTTTGTTGGCAACCAACTATAAATTATGGAAAGGAAGAGAAATCAGGGCAAGAACAGGAGTAAAGTGCTTCAGTGGGTAGACTTGTCTTCATATCCCATTAATAAGGTTTCACAGGCACTTTTAGATCTCATAAGCACTCACATTTCTCTCTTGGGCTTCCTCTGCTGTTGGAAATGAGGAGAGTCAGCATAAAGTCTTATCAGTGAGCTTGCTGCAAATTTGAAAATTGCTGCTAGATGGGTTTTTTTTCCCAATCTGTTTGTTACTCAGATACATTTCATGCATTCACATATGAGTGATATCTGTACATCCGGGTTTAGCTACTGAGGCGGGCTGCCCTCAGTGAAGTAATGGAGGAAGCATGTGCAGATTTGTGATATGAGTTTCCTCCTGACAATGTCATCCTTTCCATTGCTTCTTCTGATAAGTTCCTGGGATCTGTGCCCATGTCTGCTTCAGTCCCTCCTCATACCCTCTCCCCCTCTGATGTACATCAATTATCTTAGATTCCTCCTCATTTTCATCCTCTGATGCTTTTTTGCTAATCCTCACCCTATTATCAAACACACACACACACACACACAGACAAATAAATACATAAAAATCCTCTAGGCTGTAGTTTCACTCAATAAGTTATAGATGCACCACACATCCATTCACTTGCGCAAACAAAAAAACCTATAAACTAAGGATACTGTTTCTCCTGCCAATGGAGTGGGGAGAAAGATGCTTATTGTTATCCATCATTTCCAATTATTTGTGAGCAACATTCCCTCTAATGGTTTCCATCCGTGTGCAGAATAAATTTTACTATGTGTGCTGAGACACATGCAGATGTGTACCACCAGGAAAAACACAAACTTAGCTGTGGGCACTCTACTAATCAGCTGGGTAACAGTGGAATCTTTCATGAGTAGCTGCACAAGCACTTAGCTTACAGGGAACGCTGCTTGTGAGGCACTCAGAAGCATAAGGGCTGAGTCAGGCCTGCTAGTCACAGATGTCAGGTTCCAAAGAGCTTTACATGTTTCCATGTGCGTCACACCTGATGCTTAAACCGCTAAGCCACATCATGAAAGTACAGGTTGAACTTCTCTAGTCTGGCATGCTCTGGTCTGGCAACATCCATCGTCCAGCATGATTTTAGCTAGCTGGATGTCCACTTATCATGGGTGTGGCCAAGTTTCCTGTGGTCCCATAAAGTTTGTTTACAGCCACAGGTCCTGGCTCTCAGGATTCTGTGTTGTTGTTTAGCTCTGATTTACCCCTAAATGTCTTCTAAATGCTCAGTAAGCAGTGGCAATGTTGATAATACTGCTAGACAATACTGTCCTCCCATGGTTCTGAAAATTCTCTTGTTCAGCATAAGTCAGGTCACACAGGTGCTTGACTAGAGAGGATCAAGCTGTATGCACATAAGCAGAGCACACTGGGGCAGTGTTCCCTCTAAGGGTATCTCTACAATAGCCCCCTAGTTCGAACTAGGGAGGCTAATGTTGGCATTCGAAGTTGCAAATCAAGCCCGGGATTTAAATATCCTGCGCTTGATTTGCATCTTCCCAGCTGGTAGCCATTTTTTGAAATTTACAAGTCCAGACTAACTGCCTGCGTCTACACGCGGCAGGGACCCGGTAGTTTGAAATAAAGCCCTAGTTCGAACTACCTGTTATTCCTCCTGGAATGTGGTTTAACAGGTAGTTTGAACTAGGGCTTTATTTCGAACTAACAGGTCCCTGCCGCATGTAGACGTGGGCAGTTAGTCTGGACTTGTAAATTTCAAAAATGGCGACCGGCTGGGAAGATGCAAATCAAGCCAGCGGTGGATGTGGGGCGGCTGCCCCAGGCCCTGCGCTTGCAGAAGTCCCGCGCATGCGCTGCGGCGCCACGGCGCATGCGCCGTGTCAAAGGGAGGGGGGCCCCGCGAAATTGTGCTGCCCGGGGCCCCGAGGCACTCTTATCCGCCCTGAATCAAGTGCAGGATATTTAAATCCCGGGCTTGATTTGCAACTTCGAATGCCTACATTAGCCTCTCTAGTTAGAACTAGGGGGCTAGTGCAGACATACCGTAAGTTGAGTGGCAGCACAGTCCCTCGGCTGCTTAATGAGCCCCGTCCAGCCAGGGGCTCAATACTGGCACATGGAGTTGTCTGAGTAGGAGAGGGGTACTTCTCTTCAGTGACATAGGGTCACATCCCCTCCCTACTAGCTGGAAGACACTCACTGACAGTGAAACCTGTAAACCTGAAGCAACTCAGACAAGAGGTTGCTGTTGAGATCCTAGCAAACTGCCAAATCTTTGAGTGCACTGAGTTGTCTGGAGCAGCTTTAGATTTTTCCTCTTGGATAATCAGGAAAAGAAGCCAATAATAGACAGACAGGGGGCAAATTAAGCCCCCAGGCAGAAGCTAATAAGATGAATCTTACAAAATCTGGTGGGCTGCCAAGCAAAGTTGTCAACAACTTGCAATTGCTTTGTGCCAAACTAATACGCATTTACCTGGCTGAAAAACAAGACACAGTCCATCAAATCATTAAACACTTATCATGGAACAGCTTATTGTAAACAGCGTCTAGAGAGTGCAAGTACGCTGCTAACCAAGAATACTGGGGAATCCAAGAATGTGTGTATGTGTACAGTACTGGAATAACCAAATTAAATTTCCAGTGGTCGAGAAAGCATCTACTACTTTTAGTTAAACGTGATGCATCATATTCAGTGACATATGGAGATGTGTCTTGTGATTTGATCAACCAGAGGTTCAATTTTTCTAGAGTTTAGCTGAAAGTACAACCTCATTCAGGTCATTTTGAGGTTTTCCCTAGGAATTTACAACCAAACCAACAAATCCTTGGTGAAACACCATTCCCCCCTCCCATAGTCTTTGGTTTCTTCCTAATTTTGTTCACTGCTTCGATATGAAGGGAACAGCCACCTTAGTAATATCTCAGATTGATGGGAAACAAATCAGCATTTGCAAAGCAGAAAAACTAAAGTATCCATAGGAGAATAAATGTTGTTTCCACATTTCTAAATGTTACAAATATTGGCAAGTAAATCCACAAAAATTAAAAACTATTAAATAAAGTACTTGACAATATCTGTATCTAAATTCCAAATGTGTTTTTGTGCACTATAAACTGAAACTTCCTATTTTATTACCTCCTATCCCTAATACTGCTTCCCTCTTGTGTATTAAGCAGACCCATTCTTCTCCTCCAAATAACATTTTCAATAGGGAAGGTAATTAATCACTGGTAATTGCCATTACCCAAGTGTATGATGTGTTCTCCATCATCTGAAGTCTTTAAATCAAGGTTGTCTTTCTAAAAATATACTCTAGCTAAGTGTTTGCCACATGGTGGGTTGTAGGATGGTTGGAGGTGGGTTGAGCCCAGTGTGGCGATGAGGTCTTTTAGGAGGGGGTAAAGTGAGCCTGCTCCACACTAACTCTGCAACAGCAGCACTCATCCCATGGTGCTGGGTCTAGCTTCGTGCTCTGGGGATTGCATCCTGGCATGCAGGGTTACAGTGCTGCTCACCCAAATTTGGTTCAGCTGCCCCTCCAACATGACAGAGTGGTGACTAAGTCAAACCTGAGTGGTGCTATGGTCTCCTACACCAGGTCACAATGCCCAGAGCCAGAAGCTGAGTCCAGCCATGTGGGAGAGGAAGTGACACTGTGGGGTGAGGGTAGTGTGTGCCCATTCTACTGCAGGGATGGGAAATAATTTTTGATGGGGGGCCACTCTAAGATTTTGGAAAATGGTCAAGGGCCGCACTTCACAGTGGAGGGAGCGTGGGTTTTGGGATGGAGTTTGGGTGCAGAAGGGAGCTCGGGGTAGGGGATTGGGGTGCAGAAGAGGATATGGGGTCTGAGAAGGAGTTTAGGTAAAGTAGGAGGTTGTGACTTTGGGCAGGGGATTGGGCTCCTGGGTCCAAGAGGGAGTAGGGGTGCAGGAGTGAATTTTGACCTGGGGGAGGAGTGTAACGGGGGATGCAGGCTGTGGGAGGGAATTGTGATCTGTGGCAGTGTGCAGATGATTTGGGTGGTGACCTATGGCAGAGAGTGGTAATGACCTGGGGCAGGGAGTTAAGAAGTAGGAGGGACTAGGGTGCAAGATGCAGGCTCTGGCCAGGAGTCACTTACCTTAGGCAGCTCCCAGCCAACAGTTCTATGGGTCTCTGAGGCAGGCTCCCTCTTGCAGCAGCCCCAGAAACACGGGTTCCCTCCATGTGCTGCTCAGGGCCATGCGTCCCTGGGGGGTGAGAGACTTCATGCACTCCCCCCGCCCCCGCAAGGCTAATCCAGGCTGTATCATGGTCGCCCCTGCTCTACTGTATCCACTTCAGGGCCTTCCCTTTGCACTGGGCCAAGAGTAGGGTTGCAGAGTGCCAGGGTGGAAGGTGGTACTATGAGTGGCCAATGACCATCTGGAAAGGCAAGGAGAAGGAGGTAGCAGTGGCAGGGGAGAAAGACGCTGACCTAATTTTGGGCCCACAAATTTGGAGCCTGAGCGGGTCGCATAAAAGAGACGATGTGGTTGGTGGGCGGCCTTGCTGGGAAGTTTGGGAACCACTGCTGTAACTCAAATAAAAGTTAGGGGCTTGATGAAAGAATCACTAGGTGGAATTCTATGGGCTGTGTTTTGCAGATCAGACTAGAGCATCATAATGGTCCCTCCTGGCTTTATACTCTGTGATTCTCTAACTCATTTTCTGGTGCAGGATCCTTAAACAAAAAGTAGTTGAAACAAAACAAAACTAATAGCACTCTGTGGTTTCCATGTAAAACAATGGTTTCTCAGCTGGAACCTTCCCTCCCCTTTGGGCTGTTAACTGTCCTCATTCCCTGCATGCAGATCATAAACTGGTGTCCTTATTCATTGTGCATCTTAATTTAGGGCCAGATTCTTTCCTGATTTACACCCCATGCAACTCTATCAGACATCACTACTCTAGATGTAAATCAGAGCAGAATTTGGCCTTAAATGTATAGAAATTTGAGTGGCCACTTGGACCGGATCATCTGCTGTGCTGGTGAATCATTCAGCATAGTGTTGCAATCAGCCTGCTTGCTGGTCTGGTGGCAGCACAACACAGCCCCATCTAATAGATCATGTTGTGACATCCATTCTTGGCTCCTCAGATCAGGCAAGACTGAAAGTGGTGCAGAGCCAGTACGTTCAGCTCTTTGGTGCTGTTATGCACAAGGGAAGCCTCATTATTTCAACTTAGTAAGTCTCCTCTGGGCAGTTCTGCTAGTGACATTGCTAGGCTCTGAGAGGCAATCTCTCTTCAGCTAGAAGGATGGTTGTGTGAATGGATTATTATTGCCATTGGTTCAAATTACAGGGGTGCCCAAAAGTGCAAATGTTTCCAAACACAGAAGAAGACATGCCCCTAACCTCATGAGCATAAAGACGAGAAATAGAAAGGTAGATGAGGCACAAGGACACGACATACAAGCATGGTGATCAGGATGGAGACAGATGTGTAATGGCATATCTATATTGTAAAATGTAAAGTATGGCGTGAACCTGTATTTTATTTAACCGGGATTAAATAGCTGAGAAAACGAGATAACTTGGGTTGTAATTCAGATTAGCACTTGATTCAGTCCCAGGATGCCCTACAGAATTTCACTCAAATTCCTAATCTGAGTTTCTTAAAAGCTGAGTTGCTATTCTCTCCTGCTCTTTTAACCCATGTTAGCTAACCTGATTCAGAACACACTTATTTTTGCTGTGTAAATATATCCTTATTGATATATCTGTTTTAGACTCCTCACAACTTGATATTCATAATTGTCTCCACCACCATAAATGAGTAATGCTCGTGTGACATAATATGTAACTTTGCTAGCTTTGACAAGGGGCTTTTGAGGTCTCTGAACTGAAGAGGGTGGATACTGAAGGATTTGACTGGTGTCAGCAATGCCACAAAGAAGATCAGTTTACATGGGGACTGATATCTAGAAAAGCAGGATTGGGTTAATTAGAACATAAGAACATAGGAAAAGAAGAATGGCCGTATTGGGTCAGACCAAAGATCCATCTAGTCCAGTAACCTGTCTTCCGACAGTGGCCAATGCCAGATGCCCCAGAGATGATGAACAGAAACAGGTAATTATCAAGTAATCCCTCTCCTATCACCAATTTCCAGTCCCTGACAAACAGAGGCTAGGGACACCATTCCTACCCATTTTGGCTAAGAAGTGTTGATGGACCTAACCTCCATGAATGTATCTAGTGTTTCTTGAACCCTATTAAAGTCCTGGTCTTCACAACCTCCTCTGGCAAGGAGTTCCACAAGTTGACTGTGCGCTGTGTGAAGAAAAATTTCCTTTTATTTCTTTTAAACCTGCTACCTATTAAATTAGCTTTTACCTTTAGGGTAAAGTCAGCAAAGAAAAATAGGTAAATAATCCAGTTTTAAACAAAAGAGTTTATTCAACAATCTTCTTTCCTTCCCCCATACTCAGGATCAGGAAGGTTCCTTTCCACGAGTACTTTCCGTTCAGAGGCTCTCTCCTAGATGGTGCTTCCTAGATGGTAAGCGTATCTGCCTATGGTGCTATGATGAGCTCTTGTCATTGACACACACTGAGAGACTTTTATTTCCAAAACTATTGGTGTAATGGCCAGGTGCTGCCCTTTGCTGTGCGAGGCAGGTAAGGAGGAGGTGGGTGTTGCTTCTTTCCTTCTCAGGAGCAGAGCAAGGCCTTTACCTTGTGTGCAGCTAGAGGCCCAGGTGAGTGGTCTGTGCGCTGTGGTCAGCAGCACTTAGATCAGTACAGCCTGTGGCAGCCCACAGCAGTGCCTTTCAGTTGCTAATGCCCACTGCTATCTGTAGGCTTCAGTGCCAAACTCCACCCTACACCAAAACACCTATGCAGCTGGTTTTAGTATGGTAGAACAAGCCCATGTCTATTGACCTGGGCTGGGAGGCTCGTTGCCGTGGGCTGTGAAGTTGCACCCCCCTTGCTGGCTGCTCTTTTTGAAAGCAACAGCAAGTTGCTCAGGAATCTATTTTGTCCCTGGTATAGCCACATCTGTTGATAACAGACCTTTGCTCTGCATTGTGAATGCCACGTAGCTATTTAGTTTTTCCCTTTACATATTCTAGAGGTTATGAAAATGAAGCCCACATTCGGTCTGAGATTTCACTCACTGTAGCACTGTGGAGAACTCTACACCTATAGCTTGCCCTGGTTTTGTCAAAGCTACCCAGTTCACCTGGGGTCTACCCAGGCCCACCAACAAGGCAGGCAGGCAAAGCAGGTAACTACCCAGGGACCAGCAATTCAAAGGGTCCCGGGACTCCCAGCTGGAGCCTCAGGCCTTTTAAATTGCTGCTGGAGCACCAGGCGGTGGTGCTAAGGGCTGGGTGGGGCAGAGGACCACCGCACAATGCTCTTCAGGCACCGCTGAGGGCTAGCTGCCTCCAACTCTGCGCCTTCTGGGAATGCAGAGCCAGCCCCCTCCCCCCGCCTTGCCCAGGAGACTGACAAATCTGTCACACCCCCAACCACCCCCCTCCCCCAGTCTGCATCAGCATTTAGATCTCTAAAATTAGCAACTAAAATGGACAGCGCCTTGTTCTAGCATATATGAGCTGTGACTTTTGTCCTCAGTAGTTACAGTCTTTCCTTGATTGCTTCAGATATGCTCTTTCTTCTTTTGTTTTCTTTCACATGGCTGAAATAGTCTTTGCAGACAGATTTTTTTTGTAGTTGTTGGTTTTGGTTCATTTTTGGCCTCTTTGGATTACAATGTTCTTCTACAATGTTGAAAATTGACACACAGCAGAAAAATGCTACTGCATAAAAACTCCAAAGTGAAGCTAGCAAGTCTGTACTTTCATTGCCCAAAGTAAGTGCCACGCATAAAGTAAACACCATAGATTGTGAAAAACAACGTAGACAGTTCAAATGCTTTCAGTTTTAATAATCCAAATTGCTTCCATAGCTAAAAATGGGCAAATAATACTAAATGACTTTCCCCTTTTTCTCTTTGAATTTGCCATGAACAAAATGTAATTTTTTTGAATTTCTTTGCAAATCGGTATTATCGGCCTATTACTTGATCTTCAGGTTGTTCACAAGCATTTTGGTTTATTTGATATAAAAACTGAGCTGATTTGGTTGGACACATAAATCATATGGTGATGTTTTTGTTCCCTGAATGGAAAAGAGCTCTTTGTATTAGATTTCTAGTATGATTGCTTCTTATTACAAACCTGAAATTCGCTTTCCATGCCTTTGCATTATTTGCTTTAAATGTGCTGATTCAATGAACTTTCCTGCCAAAAAATCATTTGCTAGAAATATTAGCACAAAGGGGGAATAGGAATAGGTATAAACATAGTCAGAACAAATAAATTGTTTAGCAGTGTTTGCTGAGCAGTGTTAGCAACACAGGTAAAGAATTTCACTTGCCTCCTTTGTAAGTGCTTTGAGATCTACTGATGAAAAACACTACATAACACTGGTGATATTATTTATTTTTATCATAAAATATATGAAACTTCACAGTGACTCTTCTGTGTGTGATTGTTTGTGATTGGATTTTTTAATTAAGTGCCATGACTTTTGTTAAACTCTGCCTTTAAAATCTACACATTAGTACTCGTGAAAGGCTGGCAAGACTCTACTGAAGTCCAAGTTGCCTTATTTGATGGCCAACCTTTGCCCAGTTTATTGTGGATTCAATTCTGCTCAGATCTTTTTCTTTAACACGTCACTGTTGCTTCTCTTTCTTGCAGCAACTTCTGCTGATCGTTTTTACCATATTGACAGATCTCAGGTAAACTTCCATCTGTTTCCTGTATCAATAAATCTTTTTAAAGCATTGTCAGATACAGTTTAAAATGAATTATCTGTATTTGTTCTTGTATGTCTTAAAATTTTGCTGATGCCTCAAGGAAAAATGAAATATATTTTGAGCCAGATTCTCAAAAGGTGTAAATTGACATAGCTCTACTGAAGTCAATGATGTTTTATACCTACTAAAGATCTGCCCTACTATCTACAAGCAATTTGATGTTCAAATAGTTTCCTCTATCCCTTTTGCTTATCCTCTATTTCTAAGGACATGAGTATGCAAACAGAATCTTTATCAGTTTCTCTTCTGCTGTTTATAACAAACCTAAAAACCTAATCTTCTGTGTATGACATTGGATAGCTGCGGATATTACAAATTGAGAATTATGATTAGAATTGTATAAAATGCTCACAAAGAAACAGAAAAAATTGTACTCTACTGGTTTCAGGTTTTATTTCAAAACTGACAATAAGGCTACGTCTACACTGGCCCCTTTTCCGGAAGGGGCATGTTAATTTCAGCGATCGCAATAGGGAAATCCGCGGGGGATTTAAATATCCCCCTCGGCATTTAAATAAAAATGTCCGCCGCTTTTTTCCGGCTTTTAGAAAAGCCGGAAAAGAGCGTCTACACTGGCCCCGATCCTCCGGAAAAAGCGCCCTTTTCCAGAGGATCTTATTCCTACTTTGAAGTAGGAATAAGATCCTCCGGATAAGGGCGCTTTTTCCGGAGGTTCGGGGCCAGTGTAGACGCTCTTTTCCGGCTTTTCTAAAAGCCGGAAAAAAGCGGCGGACATTTTTATTTAAATGCCGAGGGGGATATTTAAATCCCCCGCGGATTTCCCTATTGCGATGGCTGAAATTAACATGCCCCTTCCGGAAAAGGGGCCAGTGTAGACGTAGCCTACGAGTAATTTGTGACCCTGGACTTAATTTGTAAACAAGCTGAGCAATGTAATAGTTTTGCATCAAAATCATGCAACTGTAACACACTGGGAAGGTGTGTCTTTGTCCCTCTTCTGGACCATGTGACAAAGTCTCCTGAGTCTGCTACTGTCTTCCAGTTGATGGAGATGGTCCTGTAGCTTGAGCAGCACAGGTTGTACCTCCCTTAATTGGGACTCTCTGATCTGGCAACATCCGGTGGGACTACAGATGTTCCTGGACTAGAGTCCAGGCATAGGGAGGTCTGGGAGCGGGGCAGGAGGGGGCTGGTGACTCAGCTGGGAGTCCCATGTGTGGGGAGGAGGTGGGGGGAGCAGTGGGAAAATCTGGCCCCAACAGCTGAGCAGTAGCAGGGGGCCAGCAGCGGCCATGCAGCTCTGGCCTTGGTGGCAGCCAGGAAGCTCCAGCCCCAGTAGCAGCTCTGGCCCTGGAGTGACCAAGCAGCAGTGGGACCCTGGAACCCTATTGGGGGGACAGCGGTTTAGCATGGGCCAGGACCAGAGAGGCCCAACCTGTGGTGGGTTATGTTTGTAAATCAGAGGTCCCAGGTGCAATCACTGTGGATCATCTGAGAAGTGATGTCTGTATTCAAGCTGATGTTTCAACAAAAAGCCAGGAGACTGCTTGAATGAAGCTTTACTTTAACATTTGGAGAACCTGAAACTCACAAGCAGAGTGAAGTAGATGAAATGAAATGTGGTTCAAACGTCACCTGTGGTGGGTTATGTTTGTAAATCAGAGGTCCCAGGTGCAATCACTGTGGATCATCTGAGAAGTGATGTCTGTATTCAAGCTGATGTTTCAACAAAAAGCCAGGAGACTGCTTGAATGAAGCTTTACTTTAACATTTGGAGAACCTGAAACTCACAAGCAGAGTGAAGTAGATGAAATGAAATGTGGTTCAAACGTCTAGAGCCGTGGTCCCCAACCCGGTGCCCGCGGGTGCCATGGCGCCCGCCGGGCTCTTTACTTGCGCCCGCGGAGCAAT